AACGTGATTAGTTTTTTTGGGGATTTTTTTCCTTTGATTTCATTTTAAATCTTGATCGCCCGCTGTTGTTGATTATCATTTATTTATTTTTTTTCTTTGGAAAAGCGAATATATTTCATTTGCCATTTTCAAACACAAAAGGAAAAGGGGAAAAAATCATTTCAGCTTTCTTCTTTTCCCTTATCCAAATGTTATTGAATTTTTTTTCAAGTTTTTAAAGAATGAAACAACCAAAGAAAGTGTTTTTTAAATTTTTCATTTGACAGTAAAGAAATAGAAGAAGAAAATATGAAAATTGTCATTCATTTTCATTTTGATCAATAAAAAAAAAGTCTTTTTTTATTCTTTTCAATTCTTTTTCTCATTTTCATTGCGTTCGATAAACATAGACCAAGTGAGAGAGAGAGAGAGAGAGAGAGAAGGAAATTACCCAAATAGCAAAAGGAAAAAACACAGAATCGATTTTTTTTTCTTGTTCACCAAAAATCAGAATGGTGTTTTTCATTTGTACGATTCTCTTACTGCAAATATATCATTATTATGGTGGAAAATTTAAAAATAAAAATAAAAAAACGGAAGAAAGAAAAACCACTTTGAATCATGTTGGGCAAACTAAATAAGTATATATATATAAAAAAAAGTCAAACAACTAACAAACAAACAAACAAACATTGTTGGTAAGAAGAAGAAGAAGGAATAAAAAAGTTGTTGAAAACGCCTCAAGTAGCCAAGTAAATGATGATGATGATGATAATTTTTTTTTCATTCATTCATCACACTTATTATAATAGTCGTCTTGATTTTGTTTTCTTCTTTTTTCCTGTTTTGTTTGCTGTTTTGCTTTTATGCAAATAAATGTGATCAACAACAACAATAACAACAACAAGCGAACAACAAATGAATCGATTGTTGTTGTTGTTGTTGACAACAACAACAACAATATTTTGTTAATTGTATCGAATTTTTAAATTTAATTTAATTCAATTTTGTTGTTGTTGTTCAACTAGCAACAACAACAACAATATTTTTTTGTTTTGTTATAACATGTCTTGTCTTGTCCTGTTTTTTATTCTTCAATCTTATTCTGGAAAATGATATTATTTTTCCTTCATTCAATTTGGCCCAAAACAACAAAACGACTAAACTAAATGAATGAAATAGCCTAAAGAATGTACAAGAAGAGAGTGAATTGGAGATGTTCAAAAAAAATATAATCAATTTAAAATAATAGGAAAAGAAGAAAAAAAAATCTAATTCGGATATAGCTGTCAACATTATCAAGCAGCTGATGACGTTTGACACTTTCATTTTTTCATTTTTTT